AGATCCCAGTTGTTGGTTCTTTGTGTTAGTTCCTGTGCAACTGAGGTTTTGTTTATACAGTCTTTTCCTACATGGCTGGAGATTATGTTATTCTGCTGCTTACACTTCATGTTGAAGAGGCGAACATTGCCATGCTTTTTGTTTCATTTTGTTTTTTCCTTGCAGGAGAGGTGAGATTCGAGTGGGATTTAAAGTTTCAAGAGGAGTTAAATCTTCCCATAATTTAGAGATACTGTTTGAGTAATTTGAATTATCCTTGAGTTTCTCATTGATGGATTCAACCAAGTGTGAATCAAAGCATGCAAAAACCTGGCACCTGGACTGAATATATTCATTTTTGTCATTATTCCCTAATCAATACTAACATTTGCATTGTATTATATAATGTAAGTAATCTAGAGATTATTTAAAGTGTACAGGATATTTGTATGCCATATGTAAATCTAATGTCTTACTATAAAGGACCTGATCATCCTCAAATTTTGTATCTGTAGAAGGTCCTGGAACCAATGTCTGTGGAACAGAGACAGTTTTATGGGAAAGTTAAAAGCTACACTGACATACAAGATGGATTCTTGACAAAACAAACAGGAGTGCATTTAATACCATATTACCTATTTATAGGTGTTATCTTCCACTAGTTATTTTCTCTAGTGCAATAGCAAAAGCTTGTTGTGATTAAAAAAAAAGCCTTCCTAATTCCTGAGTGGATTAGCAGGTCGAGTGTTTAAACAGTTGCCAATATTTTAATGCTGTGTTCTAATCACATCATGAACTGTCAATATTTTTCTTGTATGGAACAAAGTTTGCTTGAGCTAAGTGTTCATCATCTTCATTTTAGACATTTTAACAAGAATGGAAATAAAAAAGAGCTTGGCAAGAATGTGGGCTCCTTGCTTATGTAAGCTACCTTATCTCCCACCTCCTGCGGGTAGTGCAGAAAATGGAAGGGAGAAAAATGGTGGTGCTAAACTCCTGCCCACCACTACACATGGAAAGGAAGAAGAATCCTTCATGTTTATAAACCAGTGAAGAAATGAACCACCAGCCATGCTCTAAGCCCCTAAGCTGTACCCTTCCTGCTCTTGTGCCTCTGAGGTTTGCTCATCTTCAGCCCTTCCACTGCCCATTACGAAAGAGTTAGGGCTTATCCTGATCAACAAGAGCTTGGGTAGAGTCCATGAATGAGATCTAGGACATGGCTACCTTTTGAAATTTTGCAGCTGACTTGGTGTCCACCAAAGTTCATGTTGACACTGGGTCCCCAATGTGGCAGTGGTGGGAAATGGGGCCTACTAGGAGGTGTTAGTGTAATGAGGGGGGAGCCCTTGTGAATGGATTAATGCTTGTCTCTTGTGAGTGAGCCCTTCCTCATGTTGGACTCAGTTAATTACTGTGAGGGCAGATTGTTGTAAATCAAGTTCTCTCTCTTTTGGATATGCCCACTTACCCCTTTGCTTTCCACCATGAATTGAAACAGCCTTAGACCCTCACCAGAGCCAGATGCCTATTCTTGCACTTCTCAGCCTCCAGAATTATAAATTAAAATCATCCTCCAGATTTTATAAATTATCCAGTCTCAGGTATTCTGTTAGAGTGAGAGAAAACAGGCTTAGACAACTTTGACATATCCCTTGGAAGTAGGAAACTAACAGTACATTTCTTAGGTATATACAAGATTCTATAGTTCTCAGAAAACCACAAGAAATATGTTGTATGAATTTATGTGACTACTAAATTCCTTGCTCTCCTTTTTCTAGAAGAGGGTACCCTGTTACTAACAGGGATCTTGGCTTAAGCATGCAAAGGTTCTCTGTGTGTGTGTGTGTTACTATTGGTTTTAACTTTGCATTTTATTGTTTCTTCTTCATATATTATGAAATTCTTAATGGATTATAATAAACATTATTTTCTATTTTTTCCTTTTGTTTTATTAAGAAGAAAAAGAATGTTGGAACTGAGAAGGCTTTGAAAAATCACTAAGATGTGTTGGCTTTCTTGTTCAACCTTCTTCACCCCATAACTTCCACTGCCAAAGGAGAGAGGAAGAACACTCCAATAATTATAGAAATAAAGAATCAAGGTGAATCATATGGAAAGATGGTGGAAATAAAGATTTAATACCAAAGGATTTGGTACTTGTCAGATAAATTCTTACAGCATATTCCTTGTGGCTTTCTGAGAACTACAGAATCTGTGTATACCTAACAAGTATACGCTGTTAGTCTCTCACTTCCAAAGGATATCTTAGTGTCAAAAAGGTGGTTGGGAACATGTAGTGAGAGCTCTAGAATACCATAGTATTGGGTTTGGACTTTGTTTCATGGGCAATGGGGACTCCAAAACTTTAAGAGACAAGAGACAAGATCATGTTTATGATTTATATGAGTGACTTTGGTACTAGAGGATGAATTGAGAAGACTATCAGTTAGGAGGCAGTTTAAATAGTAGAGATGGGAGCCTAAATTAAGGCAGTTTTGGTATAAATGTGCCACATCAGAAAAGTTATGTTGGAGAAAGTATTTATGAAATTTGATCAAATGACAAGTAAAATAATGTGGAAGAAAAAAAATGATCTAGAATTATGAGCTTGAGATGAAAAACATCCCATAAATAGAAAAGGGATTCAATGAGGAGAGAAACTCAGTAGGTTTTCTGTTAAATCTGTTGAAGTCTCAATGTCCTTGGGACATCCAAATGCAGTTGTCCGGAGGATTTAATTTTGGGATTGGAGCTCAGAAAAGGGTTGGAATTGAAGATAAGTATTTGGAAGCCATCAGCATAGTTAAGGTTGTTGAAATTGCAGAAGAGAGCAAGGTTGCTTACTGGGAGAGAGAATAGCATGGAAGAAAAGACAGCTCAAGACAGAACCTTGAATTTGAGGAGCTGTCAGAAAAGAGGCTGGGAAAGAGCCACCTGAGATAGAAGGATCATATTGCAGAAGCTAAGAACTATATTACTCAAGAAGAAGCAGTTGTTTAGAAAAGAATTTCAAAGAAAACATTTGGTTTTCTTCAAAAAGTCACCAGTGGCTTTTTGAGAAAACAAAATTTCCAAGGACTGAAAGAAAACAATGAGAGCCTAGTGATTATGGCTTGGATGAGAGATAAGGAAGTATAAATGGAGCACAAAAACTGTTCTTGGGAAAGATTCTGTGGTGAAGAGAGAAAGAGAAATGTAGCTGGAAAGGAAAACATTTCTTTTTTGTATAATTTATCAGTTTACAAAGAACTTTTACATCCACTGATTCATTTGATTCCCAAGATAACTCCAGAAGGTAGGAAGGGCAAGTAATGAAACAGAAAAAAAAAAACTTGAGAGTAAGAATAAATTGAAAGCCTAGCTCATGGTCACTTGTAGCAAATTAAGTAGAAGAACTAAGTATAGAATTTAAGACATTTGGCTGAGTCCAGTGGCCTTTTTGAAGAACCAAAATGAAGTGTTTACTGTATTTGGATATCAAAGGGATTTTGACCATATCCAAGAGATAGTGGGGAGCTACTGGAAAATTTTGTGCTAGGGAATACAACGTTTAAGTCAATGCCTGATGGAAATAAACCTGGCTATGATGTATCAGTAGAACAGAAACCTCAGTGGGGCAGACATTTAGGATGTGGCTTCAAGCCAGAACACAGCTTTAAATAAATATCCAATCACATGCTGAGAAAGTTATTTTTCTTTCTAATTTGTGTTCAGGAGAAGGTATCAGTCTGCCAGTGTATTTTTTAACAGTCCTCAAACACTCTAACCTTTTTGAACAAAGAGAGAGTAGGCCCCAGATAGAAATGGGGTTGTGTTGTTTGTATTCACTCCTTTTTTATTTATGGTTACCTTCTATTTATGACAAGTGGTACTGATGTCTAATTATTGTTATTATAGACAGTCTACTATTAAATACAACTAAGTAAAAAAATCAAATTAAGAAAAGTATTGCAAATTCTAAAACAGGTGTACACATATACAGGAGAAAATCTATGAATATATATTATAATAACTAAAGTACGGAAAGTTCTGAACTTGAGTGAGAGATTGAGAATTTAGATCAGGGTGAGTTGATGGCAGTGGGAATAAAGAAGAAAGGAAGACTTTGATAGATGTTTAAGAAAGTTAAAGGTGGGGAGGTTGTTATTGTCCTAAAGTACTTTATGTATTATTTCATAGGATGCTTTCGGCCACAGTAATGGAAAACTTAAATAAAAAATGCCAATGCAATAAAAAGAATTTATTATCATATTTCAAGTAGGCTTGAGGCAGGGTGGCTCATGGTTCATTCAGGTGTCAGTGGTTCATTGATATCACTAAGTACTCAGGTTGATTCATCTTCCAACTTCAGCAAATAGGCTGTATCTTCATGGTCCCCAGATAGCTAATGTGGTTCCAGGAATCACATTGTGACATACGATGTTTTCAGTGCAACATGAAGACATCTTCCTGACCTGAAGAGTGGAGGGTAAAGAAGCTTTTCCCCGAAGGCACCTCCATCAAAAGATTTTTCTTTAGAAGTCATTGGCCAAAAAATGCTATATATTCATGAAAAAAGCAATTAATGCAAAGTAAAATCAAATTACCATAACTAAACTAGGTAATTGGGACTTATTCTGCAAGCTAAAAATAGAGATCCTTTCCCAGAAGGATGAAATTCGAAAGTGAACAGGGGCTCTATTAAAGCATGGTGGATAGGCAGTCAACCATATATCTTGTACAACTGCCCTGGAGAGCTGCAGGTTTTCTCTCAGTAACAGTGGTTTTGAAATTCCTCAAATTCATCCTTGGACATAAGTAGGAAGTTCTTGAGGCTTGTGGTTTATTACTTCTTAACATTTTATTTAGCTCTTCTCTCCATGTGTTGGATTAAGGCAGAACGAAATACTTCCACTGCAAAATCAGCCTCTGGTTTAGTGACACACATTGGGGGCACGATGCGGAAGGTCTGAAGGGACAGAGGAAAACAGCAACAAATCATCAGAGAATCAAATATAGCTTTGAGGAAATGTGTTACAATGAAACTTTAAAGCCTGTTTTCATGACATTTCTCACATTCCTCTTACTAGGTTCACCTCTCCTCCTAGGCTGTCTCCAGGTCATCCATTTTCCAGTCTTCATAGAAATCTTTGCACCATGTGGCTCTGTCCCTTTTTTCTTTTTGTTATCTCTTCATCTCCTGGTCTTTCCCTGAGATCCCAGGCTCCTATCTACACTCAATTTCTGCCATCAGTGTGGGTGAGCTCCTTGTCCATGTGTAAAACCCAAACAACTATCTTCTCTTTTCTGATGGCCACAGCTTCCAGAACCTTCATCTCTAGTCTTCTGCAGCCATTCACACCCAAGGTTTGTGCCATGAGCCTTTCTTCACAGAGAATAACCCAATTATCATTCCCATTACACCTACCCTTTTCGTGAAAAGCCTCTTTAGCCTTCATTATCTGCAGTTATTTCACCCCATTTCTTAATATCTCTTCTTTTCATTCCTGTGCAGTTTGGGGCACAGAGTTGACCAAACTGCTCTTTTACCTGCCCCCTCATTTTGCATGCATTTTCACCCCAATGCTCTGCACCCATATGACCCAGTCTCAGCCTTGATGAAAGCTATAACTGCTTTACTCCAACCTACATGCCTGGGAAGTGTTAGTAAAACTGATTACACAGTAAGCCTGGCTGACACCACTAAATATTCAGTCTTCAACTTCCACTGGTTGCTGAGATTTTCCTTGTCCTCTGCCAGCTTCCTTTCTCATTCTAAACCTTTACTATAATTCTCTGTTTCCTCACTTAACTAGTCTGATGCTTCTCACTCTATTTCATAGACATCATGGACAATTTTAGAGAAAATTGAAGCTTTCAGGAAATAAATTTCTATAAAATTATTTGTTCCATTCTTACATCCTTTCCCAAAGGCTCACAGATATCTTTCTTATTCAACTCCAAATTGTGGACTTGTGCCCTTGACCTTAGATACTCCCATCATGTTCACTCTAGGTAACATCATTGTCTTCTCTTGCACCTCAACTGCTTTTCAACTTCCCCTCAGCCTACAAACAATCAGCCTTAACGTTCTCATGATCCAAATCCAAACCACACCAAATAAGAACCTGTGCAGAGGCCCTGGCCCCTGGTAGCTGCTCTGCAATTGCTATCTTGCTTTAATCCAAGTATTAAAAAGACTGCACATAGGCTTTTATTTTTCACCATATCCTTCCCTGCTTGACATCACAACCCTCTGTAGTATAGTTTCCGTCACTTTTCTGACATCACTGTACTAAAGTGACTTGAAAGATGTTCATTTCTCAGCCCTTTTACCTCCCTGGTCTTCTCTGCTGCACTCAACACTGGACCTTTCTTCTTCCTGAACCTCTTCATTCTTTCCCTTCCATAATCCTACGTTCTTCTAGCTCTCCTCATGTGCCTATCCTTTTCTGCTCCCTCCAGGCACCTTCTTCTGCCCACTAAATGTTACTCTTAGGTAGGTTTCTGCCCTCACTGTGCTTCTCAGCCAGTCACTAGGCTTCCTTTGAGATGCCCTTAACTTACCACCTTTGTGCTGATGGCCCCAATCATGAGCTTCACCTTAGCCTTTCCCCCAAGCTGCACACCTGAATACAGAACCAGATGTTCGTAAACCCCTCAGATGGAGCATGTTCACAGATGAATTCATTCATGTCTACCCTAAACCAAGACAGATTCATCCTTGACTGTCTTTCACTCTTTGTATCCAAGTCCCGTACATTTTACTGCCAAAATTATCCTCAGAGAATCTCCTCTATCCCTACTAAAATTGCTTAAGTTCAAACAGCATCCCCTCCCCACTCCCACTCAGACTCACTGCCTACAGTCTTGTCCCTTTAGGTTTATCCTTTTCAAAGGACAGATTCAGAAATCAAACTACCTGAGTTTGAATCTTGATTCTGCCACTTACTAGCTATGTAACTTGGGCAATTTACTTAACCTCTCTGTGCCTATTTATTTTGTAGTATAGTTTCAAGTTGGGGATTGTGATTCCCCCTGACATGTCTCTGTTGCCTGGAATTGCTTTTGCTATTTTAGGTCCCTTCTGGTTCCAAATGAATTTTTGGATTGTTTTCTCTAGTTCTGTGAAATATACTGTTGGGATTTATATTTGAATTGAAATATATTTCAATTGGGATTGCATTGAATCTGTATAGCAGTTTTGGAAATATGGCCATTTTCACTATATTAATCCTTCCTACCCAGGAGCAGGGGATGTCTTTCCATTTTCTTATATCCCATTTGATCTCTTTTTTCAGAGTGCTGTAGTTCTCAATATAGAGGTCTTTTGCTTCCTTCATTAGATTCCTAGATATTTCATTTTTTGGATGCCATTGTGAAAGGGATTGTTTCCCTAATTTCTCTCTCAGTGAGTCTGTTATTTGTTTACAATAAGGCTATTGATTTTTGAGTGTTGACCTTGAATCCAGCTACTCTACTGAATCTGTCAATTAAGTCTAGAAGTCTTTTGGTGGAGTTTTTTGGGTCTTCTATGTAGAGTATCATATCATCAGCAAATAATGACAGTTTAACTTCTTCCTTTCCTATCTTTATTTCTTTCTCTTGTCTAATTGCTGTGGTTAATGTTTCCAAAACTATATTGAACAGGAGTGGTAATAGTGGACATCCTTGTCCTGTTGCTGATTTTAGCGTGAAGGTTTTCAGTTTTTGACCATTTAGTATGATGTTGGCTGTTGGTTGTTCATAGGTAGCCTTCATCAAGTTGAGATAAAGACCCTCTATTCCAATTTTCTGCATGGTTTTTATCGTGAATGAGTGTTGGATTTTGTTGAATGCCTTTTCTGCATCTATTGAGATGATCATGTGGTTTTTGTTCTTGACTCGGTTAATATAGTGTATTACATCGATTGATTTATGTATGTTGAACCATCCTTGCATCCCTGGGGTAAATCCAACTTGGTCAGGGTGTATGGTCATCTTCTTGATGACCCTCTGTATTCTGTTTGTCAGTATCTTATTGAGGATTTTTGCATCTATGTTGATTGGATTGGCCTGTAGTTCCCTTTTTCGGTTGGGTCTTTCTCTGCTTTTGGAATCAAAGTAACACTTTCTTCGAGGAATGAATTTGGGAGTGTTGCTTCCTTTTCAATTTCATTGAAAAGTTTAAAGAGTAGTGGCAATAGTTCTTCTGGAAATGTCTTGTAGAATTCGGCAGTGAACCCATCAGGACCTTGGCTTTTCTTTGATGATAAATTTTT